CAGTCGCAGCATCATGTGTAACGCGCTGCACGCTTTGAAACAAATCGCGCAATGCAGCTATGTAGCAGCATCACGAATCCTTAAATGTGTGGTTTGTCCTTAGACGCAGCGCCGTAGCGCCAGCAGTTTCAATCCTGTTCCTTCGAACGCCATGGCTGAGCTTGCCGCTTTTGTGTCTCCACAGGCTGGGTTGCTCAGATGTCTAGTGCTTCTGGACTATTCCTAGGAATTCAAGCAATAAGGTAACGCATTAAAGCCTCAAAAGCTCGGCACCTGGCTCTTGAATCTGAGAGCCTGGAGGCCCTCTGTACTGATGCCTCCCTAAGGGTCCATGTGCCCAAATAGTATATACATTGGCCCCAATGTGCCTTTTTTAGGGACTACTTTAAGGCCAAAGTATATACTCTTTGAGAACATGGACCCTTAGGGCCTTGCATCCGGGGCATCTGCCGAATCGTCAACACCTGCACCTCAAGCCTTAGTTTTGGGTAGTAGGGAATGGAGGAATGGTGTACAACTATACTTATAACTACAGTTACTACCATTATTATTATTATTACTACTACTACTACTACCACCATTCTTCCATTCCCTACTAGCCAAAGGTAAGAAGCTCCAGAGCTAAGAGCAGACATCAGGCAATATCCTAAACCCGAAGCTAGAAATCGATTTGAAATGACTTTCAGTTTCACTTATGGTTTAATGTTTTAGCCGCAATCAAAAATGATGGTAATTTGACGAATTGTAGAAATCGACGCCAAATAAACCCTTATATAACCCTATGCATTAGTCCCAGTATGTCACGCCGTGTGCGTTCGTCTTGTTGCTGCTCCTAGCCCTCACTGCTATTGAAGTCTTCGATGCGGTTGCTCAGACAGCCCTGTCAGAAACAATCGCAAGTAAAGCACCTCACAGAATATCAAGGCTCAATAAATCCTAAACCCAGGTAAATCCCCAAAACCCTGAGCCCTAATCCCTAAACCCCTAAACCCCAAACCCCTAAACCCCTAAACTGAATCGTGACCATGCAAAACTCGACCCAAGGCCTCTGCATGCCCTGAGCACTGGACTTGACTTTTCCCTCGCAGCCCCAAATGCCAAAATCGTACCCTCAATTCCCTATTATGAGTCCACAGCCCCCAAACTCCGCACCCGGAACGCACAATCCCACGCCGTAGTTCCGAAACCCCTTGAACGTTGAACACATCCAGGCTCTGCCCGCCTGAAATTTCAGACCGCTCTCAGGTTAGGTTAGTTGCCTGCTCCATTGGAGCTCGCCAACTGTACTGCGGCTGGAAAAAGGTCCTCAACAAAAGATCCAAAACCCCTAAACCCTAAACCCCTAAAACCCTAAGCCCTAAACCCTAAACCCCTAAACCCCTAAACCCTAAACCCCTAAAGCCCTAAAGCCCTAAAGCCCTAAAGCCCTAAAGCCCTAAAGCCCTAAAGCCCTAAAGCCCCAAACCCAAAACACTAAAGATGATGCTATGTCAGGCCACCCGGCCGCTGAGCTCAGCGCCTTTTCCACAGAAGGCCCTGGCGCCGGCGGTTTTGGGCTCTTCGGGTTTGGGGCTTCGGGGCTCGTAGGGTTTAGGGTTTTGGGGTTTAGGGCTTTAGGAATTTGGGTTTAGGGGTTTAGGTTTGGTTTTAGGGTTTAGGGTTTTAAGGTTTTAGGGTTTAGGGTTTTACGGTTTTAGGGTTCAGGGTTTTAAAGGTTTTAGAGTTTTAGGGTTCAGGATTTGGTTCTTCGGGCTTAGGGCCTATATGGCTTCTAGCCTCGTAATCGTTTCCCCGTGCTGTAGCATTGAGCGATGGTGGTTTCCCAATTCAAGAACAATTGAAATTCGAAAAGCATTGTGATTAATGGGGGGTGTTTGTTTCCGTTCTGTCATGCTTGGGGGTATCTGTAGTGCAGGTACCTTCTAGTTTCAGCCGTGGAGCGTCTAAATGTTCAGCGCTGCCCCCACACAGAGCCGATCGCACTTACTCCCTCCCTCACTCGCTCAATCAACCCAGTCACTCACTTATCCCCACCCGCCCATCCACTCACACCCCCGCACAAACAAACCTGCACAGACACGTGCACATACTCCCAAAGGGTCCTATGTACCGATATAGTAGAATGTAGGGTTTCCATATTAGGATTTACTATTATGAATGAGGGAAGTAATTCCCATAACAGTACACAGGACCCTTTGGGACTGTCATACCCACAGCTACACAGTAGTTTAAATGCAAAGCCTTTGGCTGGTAAAGGGACGGACGGAGGGACTCCGAGCACCGTTGCAAGAAGAAGACAAACAAGCCTGTTCAGATTATAAGGGGAGTTTCCGAAAATTAGGGGGTACCTCATTTTGGGGTCCTTATAACAAGGATCCTATGATTTACCTGCGGCCCTCGTGGGGCTAAAGAAACAAGACCTGTTCGATATTATGCATAATTGTGGTTGGTTTGAAAACCCGAACGCCCAAACCAACAACTGAACGGGTAAAGTAAATATGGACTTGTTTGGGGTCTTACATGCAGTGGCATATTTCGATCAGGAATCAAGGTACTTTAGATTGTGCCTATATATATATATATATTATAAATTATACATATATATATATATATAAATATATATATATAGGCACAATCTAAAGTACCTTGATTCCTGATACAAACAAAGCCTAAACACGAACTAAAACTTGCACTTGCAATGGGCGGTGTGAACACACATATAATACCCGAACTGTCAGAAACCCAATAAAGCCTTGCCATCATGTATCATCAATGAGAACCCATCTTTGGACTACCCTAAACCCTAAAACCTTAAAGTGACGGAGGGCCTGCGATCGCCGGTCGAGTTCGCAGCTGGGTAGGATGGCTCGATGAACATTGCCATTATTTGAACAGAATCCTCAAACCATGTAAAGGCCCGCCTTTGAGCCGGGATTTCAACCCGAAGTACGGTACATACCTTTAGTAGTCTACTTGGAGGTTCATGAATAGTTAAGAGTGGGTTATAAATATACTCATTTGAACCCATATATGCATGTATATATAGAGTACTTAACCCACTTATAACTGTCCATGAACCTCCAAGTAGGGTGTTCGATTGCAATTAAAGGGGTCCATGGCATCGGCGCTGTTTCTGCAAGCAGAGTGGCGGCGCCGTGCTTCCGAGTCTCGCTTCAAATTGCAACGAACTGATCCCATTCTTTGAAGTTGCAAAGTCAGTAACTATCAGTATGTTGCACTTAATCATCTTTTGGGTCAGCTCTCCGTGTACCATGCATCACGTACTAGCAAGAGGTATCTTTGCAGGGTCCTCATTGCTGTAGCCCTGGGACTCACGGACCGGGCGACGCGGGCTATTCGCCCTATCAAGTCTTCGTCTTGACTGCAAGATTCGCAACACGGGTTGCGAGCGAAACCAGTCATGTCGGCTTCCCACTGGATCACTTTGACTATATGATAGAGGAAGTGGTGCTTAGGAGTGATTGCAAATCTCTCCTCCCCAAGATGAAAGGAGAGAAATGCAAGTCTTGACGAACCCTTCAAGAAATGCATTCCAGATTGAATCATCGTGTCTTTGTCCTTCCCACACAGCCACAAATCTCCAGAGTAAAGGCCCTTCATAAACATGTTGAGTGCGCGAGTCGCACTTGCCTGAGCTTGCACACTCGTGCGCAAGCCTTTACACATATAAATTATTGTATAGAAATATAACCCGATTGAACCCTGGATGAATCGGCACAGCTGCCGTGAGCCGTAGGCGTTCGTCACAATGTTGTTCTAGGTTGAACCTCTTAGCAAAATCTTCGGCGAACTGAAGTAGCGTCGTGGTCAGGGCACCTTTGTGCCAGTGCCCGTCCGGGCACGATGCAATGGATGGCCATCCAAGGAGGTCCTTGGTGATTCCCTTCTTGCCAATGTATTTGGTTTTCTTTGGCACCTTAGATTCATCGATCACCATATAATAAGGTCGGGCTGGCATTACTTTACCCATACACATAAACCCGAAAATCCCTAAACCCCTAAACCCTAAACCCGAACCCAAAAACCCTGAACCCCAAGCAGAGCAGCAGAGTTTTGGCAAAACCGAGTATATTCCCGACTCAACGACTGCAGCTTCTCGGGGATAGAGTTCCCATCGACGAAGGGCAAGTAGAGTATAAGTACCGATGCCACCCAGGACTTGCCGACCCCCATATTGACACAGTGCCAAACATCAGGTCTGTAATAGGATGCTAGCGAGTTGGTATCTTGAGGAAGCAAATTTGTGAAGTAGCTTTCGTCGCCTGGCGCCCAAGGAAGCTGCTCATCTACGGTCTCCATGAATTGGGGCCAATCGCTCCTTGGCGGTTCTGGTATCTTCGGTGCAAGAGTTCTGGTGTAGGGCTTGGGGTGGTATATTTATTATGGTGTGTTCGGGGTTTGCCGTTCAATGCAAATCTACTCAAAATCCAAAACCCGAAATCCTAAACCTATCCAAAACCCGAAATCCTAAACCTATTTTCGCCCTATAGGGTTTGATTTCGCAGCTCGGGTGACAACCACAGCACACCAGAGATGAGAGCCCTGAGCAAGCCTCACGAACCCTCTTCTGAAAAGCAGTAGACCGTACAGCTGAAGATATATGAACAGCCTGTGGTTTCGGGTTTAGAAGTGTGCAGGCCTTGCATGGACGAGTTTTAACAATAGGGCTGTTCGAGTGGATGCATACGTATAATTGCAATTCTAGCGGCATGTCTTCAAAATCCAAACCCGGCTGGCCTGCTCTGCATAAATGGCAGATGCCCACACCAGGTTTGCCATCGTCTTTCTTCTTGCCGCGCCGGAAGTGCCGCAGCAGGTGTCCGGCAGAAATCTCGGATGGAAGGTTTAAGGTTTACAGGGTTCCATAAAATATCTACAGGGTTTATATCAGGAAAATTAAGGACGGGTTTGCTATATGAACTCGATCAAGCTTTCTTGCTGCTATATTATAGATCCCGAGACCCCAAAACCTTAATTGTTCAATCATCCTGAGATATATCGAAGCCTAGCTTCCAAGAAAGGCCAATCGCCTTTCACACCTATCGGCACCAGGTGTAATTTCGATCCGTCCTCCAACGTGACCCCCGACAGGTATGCTTCTCGTAGATCCGAACAAATGTGCTGGAAAACATCCTCAAGAGACTCTCCATCCTCGCCATAATGTTCCTTGACAATAAAACTAGGGATGCTTAAGCAACTATATGGTTCATAGGGTTTAGGGTATTATATATACTTTTTATAAGTTATAAGGTTTAGAGTTTAGGGTTTTATGGGGGTATAGGGTTCGTGACATAGAAAGTTTATGGGTTTGGGGTTTAGGAGCATGTCACGGCCCAGAGGTTGGTAATCATTTGTGATGGCTGTGTAGCACAAAATGTAAAAGCTTGCTAGATTGCAAGAATCTTTCGGCATCACTGCATAAACGAAGCGGGTCGCCAGAGTAATACCCCGCTGATTGACAAAGTATTTTTTCTCCGACAGGTTGCCATGGATGTTGGGGTTATTCAAGCTGGTTCCCCGGCCAAAAACGCTCTGCCATTGTATGACCATGACCGCCGCCTTTTTGTAATGCTGCCCCTCATCTCCGTGTATGTAAATCGGGAGGCAACGGCTCAGTGGCAGGTTTGTGTTGAAGAGGTCGAAGTTTGGGTATAGCTTCCGATATTTGCACCAATAATCATAGCACATCTGTTCACCCCTTTCCAGGTTCGGGGTACCAAAGATCTTGTCCCAAAACCCACACCGATCCATACACTTCACGAAATCCCCTGCCCGCAGAATAGGAAATTCTGAATCGCCATGAATAGAAACGGTGCTGATGGGGACATCAAGTCGCAAATGTTGCAGACACCTGTGAACAGCATCTTCCTAAGCAGAAGCTCCGAACAAAGGAGTTAATCATAGTTATATATATACCCATTACCAACCCCACAAAAAAATCCAGATGACCCGAGTATCAGACTTGGTTTCTGATCCCTTGCTCAGCTTCCTGAGCGTGTTGCAAGCCCCAAAACCGAAATCCTTCGTGACAGCCTTCGCCATCCGAATTGCACCACGAGCTGTTGAAGAGCCACGCCCGACGTCACCAGCCAGAAGCTTGGCGGTCTCTGAAGTACCTGGCAATTGGGGTGGCAGGTTACTCGGGGATCGTGTTTACATTGCTTGGGGCTTTGGGGTTTCCCGAAGATCGGATGCTTTGGTTTAGGGTTTAGGGATGGGAACAGACTGGAGTTTGAGGTCGTGTGCAGTTCTCATGGGGCTCGATGAGGATGGTTAGGGACATATAGGCGTTGTAAGGTTGAGCGATAGCGGAGTGTACGGTTGTTGGTTCCGGGAATTTAGAGGCGAGGGCTCATTGAGTGATAGCGGTGTGTAGGGTTTTTGGTTCCGGGATCATTTAAAGGGCGAGGGTTCATGTAAGATCGAGCGATAGCGGAGTGTAGGGTTTGTGGTTCCGGGTAAACCTATAGTCTCCATTGTATATATGTTCCTTTTTCGGTTAACCAACATATTATATATATATATATACATATATAGGGTCCTAACGTTAACAAAAAAGGAGCTATATATAACAATGGAGACTATAGGTAGAGATCTGCAGGTTTCTCTACATAGCTGGGAATACCACTCGGGATTTCCTGCCTCCGGCTTTACGATTGTTTCTGGGGTGTGTGCCAAGGTAAGGCTCTGGCCGTTTAGGGGCTGAAACTGGTGTTGTGGGTTAACGTGAGTTTGGGGACCATAGAAGACTTTCTGTAACGGTTTCGGGTTTAATAGTGGCATCATTAAGGGGGCTTTTTTCGGGGTTTATTATTATACTCAGAGTGAAGATCGCAGACATTGATATTCCTCGCAGAGTGACACTTCATGTCCCATCGAGATTCGAGCGCATGCATGTGTGTATATATAACACACACACACACACACACACACACACACACGCACAAAAGGTGCGCGGCTACCGCGCAAGATGCTGCCCCCCAAAACTTCAGTGGCCCGAGCTTAAGCACAAGGATTATTCAATGCATGCTTTCATATGCAATGCCACTGCCATCTGCACGCAGCTGGTGCATGTCTGGGGCATACGATCTATGTTGCGCTCTTCTGCCTGACCCGCCTTGGCGGGGTTTTGACGGGCGTAGCCTTTGCTGCTGCAGCACCCTTGCCCTTGCGGCGCCTCTGCCGAGGATTCTTAGGCTCGGGGACTTGCTCAGGCTCCTCATCCTGATCCGCCTTGCTCGCTTTGCGAGCCAGGTTCACACCCTTCATGACGAGCCTGGGTTTTAAATCTGCAGAGAGAGAGAGAGAGAGAGAAAGAGAGAGAGAGAGAGAGAGAGAGAGAGAGAGAGAGAGAGAGAGAGAGAGAGAGCGAGGGCGAGGGAGCGAGGGAGGGAGGGAGGGAGGGAGGGATCGAGAGAGAAAGAGTGCATGAGTGAAAGAGCGAGAGCGAAGGAGAGAGCCAGAGAGAGACACACACACACACACACACACACGAACAGTTTACAAATCGGTAAGCACCATGAACAAACATATAGGGTCGTAGGGCCGAGGGGTTGGGGAATGCGATCAGGCCACTTGTGCTGGGCATCCTTTGACAGCAGGTCGGCACACCTTGTATACAAGTCCATATATCATGTCACGGTGCTATAATCTGACGCAGCACCGGAGAGTTATTTGATGCAGTCGGGCCACGGCTTGGCGATCGACTCACGGATAGTCGTGAATTCCACCTTCACCCTTCAGGGCTTCTATAAATATCTAGACAAATACCGGGGTCACGGGTTCTACAGGGTTTCGGAGGCAAGCGACCCGTCTGAAAGCCTCGCCCCGCCTCTGGATTCCAGCATGATCCACATCCTCCATCTCCAGCTTGGAAACCAGGCCGGCCATCTGCTCGTACGCCCCCGAGATGGGCGTGGCGATGCTCATCAGCTCCTCAGCCAACCTTGGAGATTTTAAGGCTCATGTACTATATTATTATAGAGTTGTCGTCATATATATGTAGAGGCAAGTTGCTTGACTGTTCCTTCGGTCGGCTTGGGGTTGTAGGGCTCGTTGAGCTGCTCAATCATTCGCGTCACAGTCCGGCTTTTCGCCAACAGGGCATCCATGTAGCGCTTAAGCTCATCTTTAACCTGCATCAGCCCGTAAGAACAGATCGAAGCCCAACGTGACCGCACTATTTGTCATCGCATATATAATATACTTCAAAGCATCAACCCCAATGTCTCGGTATATGTCCCCTCTTTCACTCGCTCGCTCTCTCTCTCTCTCTCTCTCTCTCTCTCTCTCTCTCTCTCTCTCTCTCTTTCTATCTCTTTCTCCTCTCTCTTCTCTCGCTCTCACACGCACTCTCTCTCTCTCTCTCTCTCTCTCTCTCTCTCTCTCTGTCTCTCTCTGTCTCTCACTCTGCTTGAAAGCCAAAGCCGAAGTACGGTGAGGTTCTCAAGTTGTATTCCTGTTATAGGGTTTGGTGGGATAGCATTCTACTTGGAGGGGCAGGGGACTTGTGTGGTTATATATGTATATAATGTATAAGTATAGAGCTTTAAGTAGCCTAAATGGAGTTGCCCCAATTATACCCCTACTTATACAAGTCCCCTGCCCCTCCAAGTAATATCCCAGCGCTAGCCTTCGTCTGCTCCGCATTCGCCTTCGGCGGCTCCCGGCCATTCTCCCTGTCCAAAGTCGGGTCACCGATAAACCCCGATGCAACGCCGGAAGCCACATCGACAGGGTGCTCGGCTGTTCCTTCCTGGCAGAATTCGGGGAGCGGTTTGGAGAGCCCTTGGCTTATGATGGATCGATCGATACGGTAACATTGGGGTGAGAGATATATATATATATATATATATATATATACATATATATATATATATATTGCATATGCAGTAAGATATATATATATATATATAATATTATATATATACCGCATCTATATCACAACGATCGAGGACCTAAAATATTCCCTCATCCCGAACCCAAGAAATGCGCCAGTGCACGCTGGCCAGGTTTCGGGCGGCAGGGTTTGGGGTTAAGGGTTCAGGCCCGCGTCAAGGGTTCAGGCCTGCATTGAGGGTTCAGGGTTTAGGGCGTTATAGGGCTACTTGCGATCCCCACCATCAACAGATCGATCCGAAACCGGACCCAACACACTGCGAGTTATAGAACCCGGCCTGACCTTTAGCATCATCGATACATCCTCGTTCCCCTCACCATAGCACCTATGCATAGGATATCATCCTGACTAGCATCACCAAAACAGATGCCGTCATCAAGCTTGCCATCATCACCTCACGATGCTGTCACCATGCACCACTCTGATCTCTTTACCATCTATAATGCCTTCATGGCCGTCATCACCATCACCTTAAATGAGGCCATCAGAACCATCATGACATAAATTTCCGACCCATCATATACCCGAAGCTACAAACCACCCAGAACCCAAAAGCCCTATTTCGGTTGATAGCTTTGGATTCGCGGAGCCAAGGATCCTGGGGCCGATCTATCTATATGCTGGCTGCCAAGGTGCGTGATGGGATGATTTGTAAGAGAAGGAATCCAGATAGGGACCCTAGGTATTCTAATCTTAATATCCGATACTAGGTTCTATATATGGTTGATATATATATATATATATATTATACATGTATATGTTTAGGAGGCCCGAGCTATAAGCTTCTGAAAGGGTTTCCCACCGGTCCTGAGCTGACTCATGCAAGTACTTGTCCAGCTCGCTTTGCTTGATTTTCGAAGTAGACTCCAACTCCACAAAATATTCTGTCACGCTGGTGTTGTACTTCCAAGGCCTCCCATTGCAGTTATGATCTGGAAAGTAGACTGTACCCTAGACATGCATGTTATCGATCTTGCCAATACAATCGCACAATACAGTAAGCGAACCTCGTGAGTGTGGCCGGGAACTTCAGGCAGTACTGAACCACTTGCTTGATCATGTCCCTGAGTGGGGACGTCCACTAGGAAAGTTGATTCAAGTTTTGCGAAATATACAAATCATGATTGCAAACACGGTGCTTGCCCCAGCTGTGTTTGTTCTTCATTCTTTCCTCCGTCAACCATTCTCCGGTCACCTCCTTCTCGCGTTGAAGGATGCGCTCCTTCACGAAGGTAACCTTGCAAACGAAGGCCGCCTCGGTTCAGATATGGCCCCACGCTTGAAACCACAATGGGTACTCATGCACATATAATGCGTCACAGGCACCCGCATTTTCTGATGCGGGGCATCCGCCCCCAGTTCCTTGATCGTTTCGAGCAGGGCGATTTCCAAGGCCTCTCTCGAGGATCCTCCGGACTTCCAATCGGCAGTTAGCTCCTCCGACACCCACGCTTTGCCGCTTTTCTTTTTTTCACAAAGTCGTTTCAATCTCATTCGTAGTGCGTCGTGGCTAATTACCTTTGTTCCGTCCGGCATTATGATGCTGTCAGCATCCAGGCTCTCACCGGACTCGCCGGCCTTCGCACCATCGCCCGACACCGAGTCGGGAGGAGCGGCATTCTTCGGAGCCTTCGGCATCGGAACGGGAGCCGTTCCAGCCTGGTGCTGCTTGATGATCTCGGCCTGCTTGTGAAGCTGCTCCTCCAGCAAGCGGATCTTCTCTGTCATCGGATCCACGGGCTTCGTGTCAGCCTTCTGGAAGCCTGCAATCAAGCTGGCTTGCTCCTGAAGCTGTCTCTGCATAGCCGCGAGCTGCTTCTCCAATGGATTGGTCCTGCGTGCAGTTGGCTGCGTCGTCTTGTCGCCTGTGCTTGGGCTCGGCTTTCCTGTGTGGGCTGGTGGCGTGACCGTTGTTGTGCTTGGGCTCGGCTTTCCTGCGTGGGCTGGTGGCGTGACCGTTGTTGTGCTTGGGCTCGGCTTTCCCTGGTGGGCTGGTGGCGTGACCGTTGTTGTGCTTGGGCCCGGCTTTCCCTCGTGGGCTGGCGGCGTCACTGTTCGGCTCTTTCCCACCGGCGGCGCGGGCTTTTCCGGGGAGGCTACACTCTCGAAGGTGGCTGTCAATCCAGTCCGAACCTAAGCTATTGATGTGCATGCAACCAAGTGGTTTAAGACAATACACACACATTCTCCGCCCCAAATTATGACACGGTACTTCTCCAATACCTCCACCATCATCCTCTGAAGCTCCCGGCTCGGTAGCCTCTGAATCAGAGACCTCCTGAGCCTGCTCATCCTCCTCACCCGGGAGGCCAGCCAGCTCTGCGAACTCTGGCTCCTGACGCGGTGTTGGGCGTGGGCTGCTCTTCATCGTGCCCTGTGGGTGTTTGGGATATGGCCTGTAGCACCGTGCAATGCAGGGGTTCTGAAAGGGCTTTCGGATTGCAAGGGGTGTGCGGAGTATAGGTTCAAGCCGGCCGTTCGGGTGTTGCGGGGCCATACAGGGGGCTGGAAGGGCTCTCTCCATATATACCCCGAACCCAGCCTCAGACCTATATAATATATATATATATATAATATATATATATATATATAATATATATATATATATATATATATATATATATAGTCTTAGTGTATATATAGGTCTGAGGCTGGGTTCGGGGTTGCAGGTTCTGCATGGTACTCTACCCCTGGCGAATCCTTGGGGCACATGGACAAGGTAGCACTGCATGTTTAATAATATGTTGCTAGGCTTTCCCGGATCGAATTACGAAAACCCGGCCTAAACTATAGTATAATTCGAAAATGTATAAAATAGGGGCTTTCCAATCTGCATGACCCTTTGCACTGTGCAGCCCTATACTGCCCTGAGCGGACCCTAGACTTTCAATTCGCAGGAATGAACCGATCCCCAAATCCGAAGCTGACCGTGCAACCAAGCCCCCGGACCCATCGGATTTAATTTAGGATTTGGGGTGTAGGGACATGTAGGGATAGGTTTTTGCGCGTGGGGATCAATACATATACCCGAAGCCCCAAACCCCCCAAACCTGTACAATCCCAAGCCCTTTCCGGCAGTCCGCAACAGCCCAAGCCCCAAACCTTTCCCAAAAACCCGATAATATAATATTCCCAAACCCGAAACTCCAAGCCCATAGCGATCGACGGACTGTTCCCTGTATGTACGGCGCCGGCACCGCCTCCGAAACCACTGGCTCAGCGAGCACTGGCTTCTGCTGGCGGCGGGTCTGCGGTGGCGGTGTCATGTCCTGCCAAGTGGGGATTATATATATGCTCGACACACACACACAATCCCACACATTATCATACGCTCCTCCTTCTTCACTTTCTCTTGCTTGATGTGGCTCAGCTCAGACTCGGCTGCCTGGTATGGGATCCGAACGAACATATGATCATATCACTGGATTGTCGTTGGGAAGTTCAGGGGAAGGTTTAGACTTGGAGGGTCGGTTAAGAGTTTTATGACAAGTTGGGGTGAAAAGCTTCGGTTCTTTGCTGGTCTTTTGAATTGCTATGCTTACGATGTGCCAACATTGCATATGTGAGTATATGCTTTGAGATATGTATATAGGTTACAATAGGTATATATAGATAATGATAACTGTGATAATATATGTATACATACACAATAAATATAATATATATATATATATATATATATATGTATGTGTGTGTGTGGGGGTGTGTCTGGGTGTATGTATGATTTAGACATACATATATATATATACATAATTTATATATATATATATATATGTATAAATCATACATACACCCAGACACACCCACACACATACACATGCACATACACATGCATACATGCGTGTGTATCATGAGTGTCCACAGGGTCGGTTCTGTGTCTTTGGGGTGCTAGCAGCCTACAGCAAGGGTTGGATGGGAGCATCACCCGGGCCCACGAGAAATCTGAACAGAAGCCCCAGGAAAACCCTCCTGAGCCCAATATATACAATCAGATGTAGCTATCAGCCAGCCCCTAGGCCTGCAAACGTCGCAGTAGCTCCTCTCGGGAGAGCTCAGCTCGCTTCCCCGTAGACATGGCTGCACAATACTCCAGTACCCGCAGCCAAGGATGCTGCACTCCAAGCCCTGCTAGGAAGGGTCTTCGGCCTTCGCAAGGCCATCCTACTGATCAATGAAAACCTCTGCGGATTTGCATTCTGTGGCATCGAACCATCCTCCCATGTTGCACAAACGCGAGGCGATTGTCGACATCACTTCTTTATGGCCGATGCTGGAGTCACCGATTGATGGCTGGCTGTGCAAGGCACCGCGCCTACAGAATGCACTAGCGAGCTGTCCTAGAGGTACCAAATCCAAGTTTACCGGTCTTGATAGGGGCTAGTTTGGGCCCAGCCGTGAACACCTTTTAGGCGATCAAAGAACGTTCAAAAGGCATCCCCCCGAACGCTTTCGAACGCTTTAAGAATGGGTTAAGAATGGGTTGAGAACGGGTTGAGAACGGGTACGGGGTTTGAACGGGGTTTGAACGGGTGCCCCTAGAGTCGCACTTTGCACGGCCAATGAACGGCCTTTAGGCGCCCCGAACGCCTTCTGAACGGCTTCTCAACGGGTCCTATGTAGCGGTAGCTTACTTTACCTTAGATTTAGACCAAAATAGCCCCAAATTGCTACATAAACCAATAGAATCGACAATGACCCCTTTCAGACAAAACCAGGAGGATTGTAGGAAGGGTGAAGCACAGCCGATTGATCGAGCACCGGTGATCTCAGGGAGCACCAATTATATCTGTACATTCTAAGGTTCCGAATTATCGGGACGTGTTCAGTGTCCATATAATTAATAGCCGCTATCGGGAATGCTACAACATGGGTCTCACCAACACATCCTGATATGTAGCTTCACAAACGACGTGGGAATACACTCTTCACATCGACCGGCAAGCACAACAGCTTCGACCCGCGAAGATACACGATGGCTTCTAGCAAGTTCGCTTCTGGCCAGTCCCAGCCATCATCCCTGTCATGATCTGCCCTGGTGGAGCAGTTCTCGATAAACTGAATGGCAGTGAATGAATCAGGAGCCGGCCCCGGCTTCCCCTCTCCCTGAGAAACCAGTTGTGGCATGAGGTCGCGTATTCGGTTTCCGAATCCAACTGGGTATGACCTTAGGTGTCTAGCGTCAGGGTTGCATACCATGGATCAAGATGCAAACTATATATTGGGCACGCACACCTGAGGACTTCACTGGCTATCTTTGAGGTGCTTCGGAAGACCCGTCCATTTCTTCTTGCCCGTAGATTGGTCGCTGTCGTATTTGACAAGCTTACGCTTCGTTTTGGAAGCACGCACCGCTCGACCAAGCACACCTTTGTCCAGCAACGCCGTGGCCTTGTTGTTCGAGTAGCCATGAGATCTCTTCGGGGTCTCGGCACCGTAGTGCATCATCCACCATGCGGAGAGGTGGACCTTAATTGGCAGTTGTTTCAATTTCACGAGGGATCCCTTTTAGTATTATAATGTAGTGCACCAACCCCTGCAACCTCAAACAGGCAGACCTCACCTGTTTTCGAAAACCGCCCGACCTACTAATGGTAACGGTTTATGTATGGGGTCGAGGTCGCAGGTGACTAGTGCCCTATCTCACCTTTATCTTCCGAGAGTCCTACTGGAGGATGAACGACTGGGAGGCTGCCTCAGGCCTTGGAAACCTGGCCTGGTTTGATTATGGTTGGTCAGAATCAGTGGTTGGCAGCTCAAGATTCGGAGGGTTCGGGATGACCTTAACATATGATTATGCTTGGGCTTCACTGTAGATAATAGAGGCTTTGGGATAACCTAGCCCTGCCGTTACCTTCAATTTGGGTGGTCCTCTAGTCTGATTGAGGCTGCAAGATGGTAGAGTGCTGGCTGGCAATACAGCCCGGGTCGAAATCAGTTGACTATTGTATTGTAGGGTGCTATACTAAAGATTTGCGTCAAATATTAAAGATTGGGCTGCGCAGGGTTTCGGGTTAAGGATTTGGGTCCCGACCAGGTGCAAACCCCATAGTCAAATCCTTTAGAAGCTGCCCCCACCCTGTAATAGTGACTATATAAGGATTAAAAAAGGCCCCTATTATATTCCTATATTATACCACTATTACAGGGTGGGGGCCCCTTCTAACAAATCCTGTATATACATAAC